TGGAATCAGATTTCTTAGCAAGGTGCCTCCATTTGCTCAAGGGTTTTCTAAACACATCCCATGCTAGTCGTCTTTTTGAGCAGTTTTTTCCTCTGTAGGGTTTGCCCTCCTGTAAATTAGAGAGAGAGGAGTCGGCGACTCCTCCTGAGCACGCCTGGGCAGCCATTTCCACTCTGTTGCTGCTTGAGCAACTAGCCTGTCAACAAGCTCACCTCTGTAGGGCACAACCATGCTTCTACCCAGGCCTGATGCTGCTGGGATTTTTCCAGCTATTTGGAAACCAGCCTTTCAGATTTTTCCAGTCTAACGAGTAACTGTGGGTGTTCTTAAACATTTTCTCTCAGATGCTGCACAGCTGTAGCCATTGCCAGGGGTCCCTTTCAACTGGTACAGCCATTTATCCTTGAAGAATGCACACTTCAGCTGTAATCAGCTTCCACGCTTTTAAGACAGTCCTGCATTTTTCTCACATCAAACCCACACCCAAAGCAAAACCACAAACATCTGTGACCAGTAGTCAAAAGGGTTTGGAAAAAAATCAGCAAGCTAAGACAGAAACAGACACAAGAGCCTTTCAAGCCTGAAAAGAAAACCCAAATTGTATCCTGCTGGTGACTGAAAGCATTACATCTTTTCATCCAAATTCTGCTATGATTTTGCAAGATTAGCAAGCTGGCAAATGAGCTTCCCGTCACCAGAGTCAGCCAGCGCCGCACAGCTTGTTTCTCTCTGTTGACATAAAAATCCTCCTTCTGCCCTGATACCAGGTTCACGATAAATTACTCTTTGTGGAACACACTGCATTTCCCTGGATTCACTGTCAGATTGGCAGCCTTAAGCTTATCACATACCATTTGTAAATGAATCAGTTCTTCAATAGCATTAGTATGCATCAAGCTGTTGCATAGGAACAGCAGACTAAGGGAGGGATGCCTTGCAACAACCTCTCCATTAGCATTTCTGGGAGGCAGCGCTGCCTACGGTGAAAGCCATTATCCTCAACAGCTGTACTTCTACACTGATGTGAATTCTTCTTTTCGAAATCATCCTGCCTTTCTTGGAAATCCAAGTAATGTAGCTGCTATTGTGCCAGCATCTGGAGGCAACACAGTGCGTTCACTGCAAATTGCCTTCCAGACACCATTTCTCTAATCTTGACAAATTTTTAAGAGAACTCTCTCAAATCAAACTTGTATGCATTTTTACTGCCTTTTTTTCCCTGTTACACATAATGATTGTCATCACAGTTGATTCATCATAAAAACAGTGCAAGGATGAGTTAATAGAGGGCTAATTTTCAGAGCCAATCTTCCTCATTTGTCAGTGGGGGTGTATGTTCACTGTCACCATCTCCTCTTGAAAGACAATCCAGGATAAACTGTTCTCTAGTTACAGATTTTTTTTGAACATCTGAGCTATCAGTTTAAGTTTAGTTAGGTGTTCACTCACACATTTCACAGATCCTGATGCACAGAGTAGCCAATTTTTCATTATTGGCTGCCCAAACCTGAAGAAAACCTAGAAGTGTTTCTTGTTCCATCAAGCTTTGTCCTTCAGCTTCTTGAGAGTCTTTCCCTCTTCCACTTTCAAAACAAATGAGAAAATCTTATTGCTCATTTCTTCACATTTACCCGATCTGCTTCCTTTAAGCGCCGCATCATTATCAATTCTTCTTGGTTTGTACCTCTGTGTCACTGCCCCTAATCATGCAAAAAGGGGATGGAGAAGACTTATATCCCCTTTTGGAGACTGTTGGATGCACTCCTACAATGGCAAGGCTTACTGTGACCGCGTCTTTCCAAGTAATGCTCTCTCTAGTGACTTACTGAGGAACTTGAACAACGGCTGGTAATTTTACAGCTTCATAGCTATGAATGCCATCGATGCATTATCACTAATCCTGATCTAGAAGCCCACCTCCAGATGAGCATTTATAATTTAGCCTATCGCCCATTTTTCTTAGAAGTTTTTTATGGTAACTGAATAAGACCTTACAGATACTTGACAAAATCAGTGGGCTTTCTCTCCTTTTCTTCCTCTCCTGGCTAGTAGCTACATTCCATCTAGCTCAGTCTAGCTGTTTCGAAAAAGCCTCTGCACCAGCTAATAGATACCTGCGTTTTTTTTTTCCCCGCAGAAGCAAGTACTGCTTAGCAAGTACCATCCTATCAAAGTCAATCACTGGGAAACATTTTGTGCCTTTCCAGCTATTTTCTCACCACAGTTAGGACTCTAGCATTTTTTTCCCACTACGACGAGTTCTGTAGTTGTTTGCATTACAAGTCACTTTCTTCTATGCCATCTCATTTACTTACAATAAAATGCATATGCTGTTATCTCTGAAATCAGAAAATTCAGTCCCCTCCCTGCTTTGGGCTTTTTTGTATACCCTGTAGGTCAAGAACTCTTCTGAGTTGCTTCAGAAGCTGCAGCACTAGCACTTCTCTCATCACCTTCTCCTGAAGATGATGCACTGAAGCATCTCTACCAAAAAAACTTCCAGCAGCAGAACCAGTCCACCCAGGTAGAGCCTGTTTGAAGCTGAGTTCACAGCCTTGTTTCAGATGTCTTACTTAAGAAAAAGAAGCATAGTTGCTTGTGCCATTTCTCTTGAATGGGGCAGCTGCCATGGTCACTGCTTACAACGAAGATTTCCTCAACCTGTAAATAATACAATTAATCATTCTTCTCCCAGATTAGCCACGCTAGTTTTCTCCTTGGAAACTGAGTATCAGATGGTGTTAACTTCAAGACAACTGGACACCTCGTATATCATATGATCTGAAAACAAAAGGAGTGATTAGCATGGTAACTTCCTGAGCTGCCCCCCTGAATAGCAGAGCAAACAATACAAGGACAAAAGCCTCCTTGGTCACAGCAGTCATGGGAAGGCATCCCATTTCCAGAGCTGGTGACATTAACCTTCAGCTGTAACGCTCTTCAAGGAGCACTTCAGTAGCAAACAGAACTATTGTAAGACTTGAGAATTAGGCAGTCCATTGAACGGTGTACTTCATGTCAAATCCTCCAAATTTCAAGAAATGGTACCATTCTTCCCACATAACCCTGGAATAAATTCTGTACATATAAGATAGCAGAGGCACATTTCTCAAAAATTCTCTGTCTTGCTAGACATACTATGATCTGCAACTCACTGCCTGGACACAAACCAAACCTTTGGGAAACTGACTGAACATCTGATTGTCATATCCGAACAGGTGCTTGCTGCTATTCCCTGCCCTCAGCTCTCCATGCCAGCTAAACACATTCCTGTTAAAAGAGGAGCATAAGCAGCACTTTTTTCTACCACATTCTCTGAAGATTAGCACCTTCAACCTAGCTACATTAAGACAGCAGATACAGAAAACAAACAGATTACAGTGAGCCTTTTCATTCAGAGACTTCCCGTTCAGCACTTCAAGAAAAACATCCTTCATTTCTTTGTAAGCGAAGCTCAAAGAAACCATCTGATGTCAGACGACCAGGACCTAGAGACCAGCCACCCGAGTAGCCTGTGCCAATCCACATCCTGAAGTGGACGATGTAAGGCTGCGTTACCTGCATGGAGACAGCTATTCCTGCAAGAGAACCAGTCTGCATTAGATGACAATTTTCAGTGGGAGTTTCACATGCTATTACTAGAATGAGGGAGAATTTACGTTAGCATTCTAGACAAAGCGAAGTACAGGCATTTATAGTCTGGCAGCTCAACAAAACGCAGATACCCACAATTCCTGAATTGTCATGCTACACTGGCTGCCCACCTAGTAAAAGCTCCATTTCAGCAAGCAGTTGTATTTGACTGCGGCGAAAGGGTCTTTATCCCAGCTGGAACTTAGCAGGGTTATCATTAAGGGCACGGGAGGCTTCCCCTTGCAACCTGGAGGCCAGCTCTGCTCTGCTCCCTGCTAGCCTAGTCCCTGCTCTAGCCCGGCCATCGCAACCTGAGATGGAGTATTTTGAGAAACCGTACACAGATCTGGCACTTCACTGGCTTTGCCGACAATAGCGTCCCCCATCTTGGAGCTTGCTATGACAGTGTCAGATATTTGGGTTTGTGCTAGGAGAGCTGGGGCATGGGGAACCCTCAGCTGTGTACAAGTATCATTTTTTGAATCGTTTCCAGACTTGCAGCACAGAAGGGGTGGAATATATCACAGATTTAGACCAACAACCTGTGAAATCGGCAAGGAACGGCTGTGGAGTCTGCAGATAGAGAAGGATCCACAGAAAGCACTATCACACTGCCAAGGCTAGAACTGCATAACTTGTTGCTAACTTCATATACTCATTAAAAATGAAGACATTTTTCTATATAGTGAGGTTCAAAAGATTTAAAAAAAAAATGCCTTTTAAAAATATTAACATCATATTAGCACATACCATACAGAACCTGTTCTGCAAAATTAAAGCTAGTCCAAGACAGAAGGAAAATAAAAATTATGAATGTTTACATTAATAGTTTAATTACATAAACTTCTATTAGTAGGCCTAATCTCACTGCAGATTTCCTAAGGCACAGGAGCTTTATCTGAAAATAAACCCAGAGTAACCCTCCCTCCAACCCAGTTTTGCTGGTACTTTTTCCATATACAGACCTCAAAATCCATGCAGCAGCGTATCACAAATGCAACATACACTGACTAGCACTTTGAGAAGATTACCAACTGTTTGTGCTGAAATAAAGACAATTTGGCAGTAAAGACTACCACAGCTTTATCATAATTTTTTTTTTTCCCACAAAAATGTCTAGATTCTGTTTTCAATTTTAGGAAGAATAAGTTAAATGCTTTCATTTTTCCTGCATCAGTTAGTCTCATGTTTCACTGATGCAGATCACATAACTTCAAAACTAATTATCAAATATTAAACTCTATTATTAGGTCCATGTTTTTTCAGTTTTCAGTTGTATATTTATTACAAAGAAAACCCTGAGGAATCTGTTGTGTCATAAGAAATACATCACTGAAATGCATACAGTACAGAATTCATCCCTCCTATTCACCAAGCATGCAACGCAATATTTATACCGCAGATGTTTTCGAATGTAGTTTTATTCCAGTGACCTATCTGCAGTCTTTACATACATTTCAAAACAACATTATGCAAACATATCACAGGACAGTACTTAGAGAATCTTTAGTATATACTCCTTTATAAAAGGTTTTGACACAATGGAAAAGTCAGTCCAGAAAAGCTCACGTTACCAGGTTTCTTGATAAACAAAATACCATGAAGTCCTGTAACCTGCATGAGCACAAGTATCCATCACAATGGATCCCTCTTCTAAACACCTCTTTTAAATAAACAGGTTTAAATTTTGTTCAGTAGACGAGTTTCTATCACGACACTGTCCATTTAATTTTGTGCTTTCCAAAAGGCAAGCATACCACAGAAATAAAATTCCCTACCCGATAGGCGAGAGAAATTCAGTAAACCTGTATTTGTTTCCCATGGCAGCAGAGGAATCCAAGTTCATTGAAATTCTCATTATGGTTAAATCCAGCATGCCCTGCTTATAACTTCTTCTTCTTTGTCTGCTCCCCAGAGTCTAGTTTACGTTTCTTAGCGGAAGCTGGTTCATCATCTTTTTCACCATCTTTAAATAAAGGACAGAGTTAATCAAAGTCAGCAAAGCCAGTATCTTTGTCTTAAACACCATCCTCAGAAAAACTGACTTAACCACATCTGAGATGCCTGGAAAAAAGACAGTAGTATTAACTGACAACACCCTCATTTTTGGAATGTGGGCAACACGTGCACAGAATAGGAATGATTACTTGTTATTACTACCACAGACCATTGAGGATAACTAAGAAGAGGCCTTGTTAGGCTACTGTACAGTACCTGTTTTTAAAAAAATATTATTTGAATAGATAAGACAAAAAGCTAGAAAATGACATTTTAGAAGCAGGAAGTAATGTCAAGGTCAATTAACAGTTTATCTTCTTAGTCTTTGGATGAAGGCTGACTAAGAGAAATGTGTAGCAGGAAAAAAAAGTATACAGAACAAATGGAGCAAGATAGAGACAGAAAAACTGCCACTGGGGAAGGAACAGCCAGAACAAAAAAAAAGGAGCAAAACAGCAAGAGAACTTTCCATTTGAAAAGGTTGTTGATAACTTTACTGGTGAACCAAAACTGTGCTCTGAAAGCCCAGAATTTCTTCTTCTGGTTTTGTTCTCTTGGCTGTTACTGGCTATTCTCTTTCTGCAGCAGTTTTTCCAAAAGAATAATTTCTCCCTCCTGTCAAATATTTCTTTACTTCCCAGCTTACCATTACAGCTTGCGCCATAATTAAAAGTGGAGAGGACGGTAAATCATTTTCCTCAGTAATCTGCCACATGGACATTTTATTTAATTCCCCTCCCGGCCCCCAGGTTTCGCAAACACGGTAGAAATAATCTGACCTACGTCTACGCCTAGGGTCAAGGCAGCAGCTCTCATACCGCTTTCTGCTTTAACAGTACCTCGACCGAACGCGTTAGCTTGGCACAGCTACAGTTCTAGAGGCTCTTTAATCGCTCCCCGCTCCCGCTAAGGGCGCAGAGAGATTGCTGGAGGGTCTCGATGACCGCAGGAAAACCAGAGCAGACGCAGGGCAGCCTAACCGTCCCCGCGGCCAACTACTGCCTGCCCTCCAGCAGCAGCGGCCGCCGCAGCGGGCGTGGAAGAGGCCAGCTGAACTCCCTCGAGCTGTGGGCAGGGAGCTCGCCACTCTCAGAACGCACCCACCCGGTTCGCCTCCCCGCCACGCGGATCTGAAACCCGCACGCCTGCCGTGGGCCAGGCCCTCACCCGATTCGAGGGGGTCCTGCTCCTCAGCCGGCAGAAACCTGGCCCTGCCGGCCTGCCGGGGCGCGTCGTCGCCGTTGTCCTCGTAGATGTTGGACCACTTTATGGCCATGTCGAGGGCAGGGGGCGGCGGGGGCTTCCTCTCGGGCGGGCTGTAGGTCTCCGGCGGGGGCACGGCGTTGTTCTTCCACGCCTTGAACTCCCTGGGGGGCTGCAGGAGAGAGCAGGGCACCCGTCACGCCGGGCCTCGGCGCTCAGGGCGGCGGCCAGGCCCGGCCCGGCCCGGCC